TCAAAAAAAAAAAAAAAAAAAAAAAAGAAAGAACCGAAAATGAATAGGTGGTGTTAATTAGTGCTGTGTAGCATATCACTCCAAATATTGGAGGCTTAAAATAACTTATTTATAAATTCAGAAAATTTGGGGGTTTAACTGCTAGATTCCTTTGCTTTGTGGGGTGTTGGCACAGGTTATGCACTAATCTGGGAACTCAACTGGAGCCCTCAGCCCTCTTCCATCTGTGTTGTCTTATGTTGTAGGATACCTTCATATGGCCTCTCTTCTACGAAATAGCTTGGACTCCTTTAAGCATAGTGGCTGGCTTCTAAGAGTTCCAAGTAGAAGAGCTCTAAGTGCAAGTGTGTATCAAGGCTCTCCTTGCATCACTTGTGCTAATGCTTCATTGGCTTGGATTCAATGTAGGAGGGAACCGACAACACAAGAGGGTTAATACTGAGAGGTGCAGACTTTTCATGCACCAGTGGAATGGACAGTCTGCCACATGCACTGAGGCCTAAATGTTCTACTGAGTGCTACAATGCTAATATACAGACATTCCCATGCTGCTTTTTATTTTGGAAATATTATTTTATTTCTTTACTTAGGAAATGTTACTCTCATCTTTTGTGAAGTATAATTCATTTTTATTTTCTCCATTCACCTCTTTGAGTACCATAGAGGTGAATGGAGAAACTCTGCATATGACATCTGATTATTTTGCAGGTATATGGTTTCTTGGTCTACAATAGGTTTACTTGAAGTGGCACAAATAAGTGTTCTGCAATTCTGCACAAGATAGCAAAATTTTTGCCTCAACATAAACCACATCGGGGCATGTAGTTTATTGTCTTAAAAAATTCCATTGCAAACCTGACCTAGTTGGTTTGTTTTTGCAATAGGTATCATTATAAGGTACCTGTTTTTTTTTAAGCTATTTTTTTTAAGTTTACTGATAAATTTCTTACCAAAGAATAAAAATATCCAATTGCGCTGATCCTGCATTCCAGTGCATGATTTATTTTGCTTTATTTGTTTGTAGTAGATCCTTACTATCACAAAGATTCCATCTTGTAATTAAATATGTATCTAGCACTTAATATTTTCAATATACCTGGCAGACATTTCTAGTTATTCCTTTGAACAAGACTATAAGGTAACCTACTATGGAGTTGAGAATATCATTTTTTTAGATGAAGGAGATGAGGGTTGAGAGATTGCCCAAGGTCATGTAATACATTAATGATAAAGATGGAATTAGAATTCTGTTTTCGATGTCTCCATTTTTATTAAATCAGAGCCTGAGTGTAATATTGCTTTCAATGGAGAAGGTAACTGTAAGGAAGGAGCATGTGGCTTTAACCTGAGGAAAGGCAGTTTAGTAATTTAGTGGACATGATTTTTAGAATATAGAGTCTTCTTTTATATTTCAATGTTCAGACATTGCTATTCCTCAAAATTTCTTTTCTGAAAATGTTACTAAGAGAATTAACAAGGCTGCCTCTTGCAAGTAAAAGATGAATGAAAAAAGGCACTTCAAATGATGGTGTGTTGAATGCAAATTCACTTCCCTGCAGTTTATATTATTGACAAATACCTGTTCTCCAAACAAATTATATAGCTCTTCACCTAGAGTATTAAATTAAATGTATATCAAATCATTTTTGCTAATATTTATTTGACTACACATAAAACTCATTGAAATAATATCAATTTATTTCATTAATTTTGACTTGTCTGGGGCCAATGTATAAAGCACAGTACCACAGAAAATAGAATACTACTAGCATCTGTACTGCTGTTTTTGCTCAGTATTTGGTTTATTTTCATTGCTTCATTTTCATAATATGCTCTAAATTAATTAGCTACAACAGAAACTTTAAATAATTCAAAGAGGCACATTAGGAAAATTGCATTTTTTTCCAATTGGCCACATCATAAGATTGTTACAATGAATAATGGTGAAGCAGATGTTTGGTTGATTTATTCTTACATTAAAATTTTATATTATAATATTTAACAGAAATGAGGCTATTTACAGTAGTTAATTTTTTCAAAGATGTCACAACAAAGATTCAAAGGAATCTGAAATAGTATTCATTGTTCTGTACCTTAAAAGATAACTTGTACTACAGCATCAAGAGGAAGCAAAAGTCAATGCAATACTATTAAATCCAGCTTCTTGGAACTGTTGTAATTATGTTGAATCCAAGAACATTTAAAAAAATATCCTTGCTTTTACAATTATTGTTTGACTCAAAACATTATTTTAAAAATGCAAAATTTCTCAATGCACTTCCATTCAGTCTTTTGTTTTTGATTTTGCTTATTAAAGTATCAATTGAAAAAAGAATTCTTGTTATGCCAGTTTTTATCTGTTTGCTCTCATCCTCACACCAACCCGGTCCCTATCCTCACCACGTACTTATCAGAGCTCTCTTCTCTGATAGTCTCTGCAATGCTCTCTGGCCTGGAATCCCAGTATTACTTGGTTCCTTAGCTCTTTGGCTTCTACCTTTATCTGGCCAATGGGATGCACAGCAAGAAATAAAAAGGGGAGACAGAGAGAGATTCAGATACTCAGTTTCTGTTCTCCCCATGCCCCACCTGCCTCTGTGATCTGGTTCCACCACAGCTCCTAATGGCTTTCCCCCTTCCCTGGAATCAGCTCTCACGGACTCAGTGCTGATTATATAATGCCCTCTCCTTCAGTCCTAGGGGTACTAATGGGCTTCTCATTGTTGCTAATACCTGGATGCTTCCTTATCCTTTTCTGGTTTTCTGATTTCTTCTCACATCTCTGTAAATAGTCCTTTCCATTAAGCTTCAGTTAAACACTTTTGAGTGTGCCATGTGTTTTTCCTTAGGATCCTGAATAATATAATTGGTTTATATAAAAAGGAATATCTTTCTCATACAGAGGAAAAAAGAAAGTACCCTTTTATTATAACTGCTTCTGAATGCTTTTCATACTTTGTGTTCTTTATTTTTCTTAATTCTAATGTCAATCGTGGCCTGGCAGAGAGGAAATTGAAGGAATAAATGTCCCAATGATGCCCTACTTCTGTTCTCTCATCTTTAACTGGTGCCTGCTATTTACCATATCCCAGCAACTGGAGGGAGCTAAGGGAGTTCATTGGTGGTGTCTAGGATGTAGACCAGGGAGGAGAGGTGGAGATCTCCTATCTGAAGGGACAAAGAAAGCATATTCAGCACAGTTCACCTCTTCATCCCTTTGAAATCCACTTGTGGTCTTTGTTCAAATTTTAAAAATGCATGTCTCCTACATAAGGGACACAGAAATTCATCAGCAACTGTATCATCATTGACTCTTGATAATTCAGCTATATCCCTAGCCAAAATCTAAGCTGTTGGCCACTAATACTCTTCATATCAGGCAGTTAGGGATAAAGGGAAGGAGACTATGGACAAAAAAATAAGTTCAGGTAAAACATAGGTAATTCAGTAGCAGGTTCTGAGGCCTAAGTTCCTTCTTCTTCCAGAACCCATTTCACGTTCTCCTTAGCTTTCTTTACGTGATGAGTGACACAAATATTTATTCTCTCATTATCTAAATTTTTGGTGATTTAATTTTTATTAGATTGCTGGGATTTCCAATCAACCAGGACTTATGATTTAGGAGTATTAATAAATACCTCGATAAAATATATGTGAGTTGCAGATATAGTTTTTTTTTCTCCTACAGTAGAGCTGCAGTCCAATGCCTCTTAGTATAGTGCAATGAATAGCTTGCCTACAAATTTAGCAGCAATTAGGAATATACAATGCTCAGGTAAGAAATTCAGCTTCTAATACAACTAAACTATAAGTTTTCTTGATGGAGTTATTTTTTACTTGAGTACTATGCCTACAAATACACCAACCCCCGGCTTCAAGGATAGAAAACAAACATTCCTTAAGTGAGTTATTTAGGAAAATATATCCTTAAGGTCCTGGACCATGAATTTTGGCCTCTGTTCCTTAGCTAGTCTTACAACTAGGTCTATGTAGCTCTTCTAAGCCAGATGCTTTGGGAAGATTGGTGGTGACATGCTAAGACCAGAGAATTCTATCAGAATGAGCCCAGCGTCTCTGTTCTGCTGTTAAATATCTTTCCTGGTTGGAAGCTGTTGTGTATAATGCTTGACAATGGCTACAGCATTATATAAGTCCACAGGAGTGGCACTGGCAGAAGTGCTGTGGGGATGGATGGGTAAACATGTACCCAGAGTCCATTTCTATGTGGAAAATCCCTGCTTTCTCTACAAGATGGCTATCTGGACCTCCCAGAAGATGGCACCATATTAGAAATCAGAATTGGATTCAGCCTTAGGCAACCTGGACAAGTGGAACCTATACATACCTTCTAATACTGTTGTCATGGCCATGTTGCACTTTGCCCTTTGAACAGTACTGGCATTGCTGGAAAGGGAGTCACAATGACATATACAAGATAAGACATCTTGTCTACCCGATTACTGAGCTCACAGTGGATGCCTGCTAATACCAGTATCTGGCACATGAGTATTTTTATCTCATGTGCTTTTTCACTAATCTCCATTTTTTATGATTAGCCACTGTTGGTGATCCACAGTGAATCTATACATTAATATATTTCAAGACTTCTCTTAATGTCTCTATAATGTAGCAGCAATTTACCCTCAGCTGGTATGGTTTGTTGTACCAATCTATCAATAAAGATAACTTACAGTTTTCTTTCTCTGTGTATTAACTGGTCATGGGTAATTTCCCATAAGCCTACTGGTAGAAGTTGTGAGAAATGCATGGAAGGACTTGGAGAAGATTCCAAGGGTATGTGAGTCACCTTATTTTGTCTATAATTTGCTTGTCTTTTGCATCTGCTGAAGCCAGAAGACATGTGACAATTATTTTTTTTCTGTTTCCATAATTTTAAATGCTTAAAACAGCTTTATTGAGGTATGTTCAACATAAAATATGTAATGTGGTTTGTCTGTGTCCCCACCCAAATTTCGTCTTGGACTGTAGTTCTCATAATGCTGATGGGAGGTAATTGAATCATGGAGGCAGTTACCCTCATGCTGCCGTTCTCCTGATAGTGAGTTCTCTCTTTCTGTAGGTTGCCTGTTCACTCTGATGGTAATTTCTTTTGCTGTTTAGAAGTTCTTTAGTTTAATTATGTCACATTTGTCAATTTTGGCTTTTGTTGTCATTACTTTTGGTGTTTTAGTCATGAAGCCTTTGCCCATGTCTATGTCCTGAATGATATTGCCTAGGATTTCTTCTAGGTTTTTATAGTTTTAGGTCTTACATTTAAGCCTTTAATCCATCTTGAGTTAACTATTGTATAAGGTGTAAGGAAGGGGTCCAATGTCAGTTTTCCGCAGATGGCTAGCCAGTCTTCCCCACACCATTTATCAAATAGTGAATAGGTACCACTACCATGCTGTTTTGATTACTATAGTCTTGTAGTATAGATTGAAGTCAGATAGCATGATGCCTCCAGCTTTGTTCTTTTTTTTTTTTTTTTTTTTTTTGAGATAGAGTTTCGCTCTTGTTACCCAGGCTGGAGTGCAATGGCACGATCTCGGCTCACTGCAACTTCCGTCTCCTGGGTACAAGCCATTCTCCTGCCTCGGCCTCCCGAGTGGCTGGGACTACAGGCATGCACCACCATGCCCAGCTAATTTTTGTATTATTAGTAGAGGCACGATTTCACCTTGTTGACCAGGATGGTCTCGATCTCTTGACCTCGTGATACACCTGTCTCGGCCTCCCAAAGTGCTGGCATTATAGGCGTGAGCCACTGCGCCCAGCCCAGCTTTGTTCTTTTTATTTAGAATTATCTTGGCTACATGGGCTCTTTTTTGGTTCCATATAAAATTTAAAATAGCATTTATTCTAATTCTGTGAAGAAAGTTGATGGTAGCTTGATGGGAATAGCAACGAATCTACAAATTACTTTGGGTAGTATGGCCATTTTCACAATATTGATTATTCCTATCCACGAATATGGACAGTTTTCCATATTTTTGTGTCCTCTCTTATTTCCTTGAGCAGTAGTTTATAGTTCTTCTTGAAGAGGTACTTCACGTCTCTTGTAAGTTGTATTTCTAGGCATTTATTCTCATAGCACTTATGAACGGGAGTTCACTTTTGATGTGGCTATTTGTCTATTATTTGTGTATAGGAATGCTTTGAATTTTGCACATTGATTTTGTAGTCTGAGACTTTGCTGAAGTTGCTTATCAGCTTCAGGAGTTTGAGGGCTGAGATGATGGGGTTTTGCAAATATACAATCATGTCATCTGCAAAGAGACAATTTGATTTCCTCTTGTTTTATTTGGATGTGTTTTATTTCTTTCTCTTGCCTCATTGCCCTAGCCAGAACTTCCAATACTATGTTGAATAGGAGTGATGAGAGAGAGCATCCTTGTCTTGGGCCAGTTTTCAAAGGGAATGATTAGAGCTTTTGTCCATTCAATATGATATTGGTTGTGGGTTTGTTGCAAATAGCTCTTATTATTTTGAGATATGTTCCGTCAATACCTAGTTTATTGAGTGTTTTTAGCATGAAGGGGTGTTGAATTTTATCAAAGGCCTTTTCTGCATCTACTGAGATAATCATATGTTTTTTTTTGTCATTGGTTCTGTTTATGTGTTAGTTTATGTTTATTGATCTGCATATGTTGAACCAGCCTTTCATCAGAGGGATGAAGCCAACTTGATCTTGGTGTATAAACTTTTTGATCTGCTGCCTGATTCGGTTTGCCGTATTTTATTGAGGATTTTTGCATCGATGTTCATTAGGGATATTGGCCTAAAATTTTCTTCTTTTTGTTGTATCTCTGCCAGTTTTTGGCATCAGGATGATGCTGGCCTCATAAAATGTGTTAGGGAGAAGTTCCTATTTTTCTATTGTTTGGAATATTTTCAGAAGGAATTGTACCAGCTTCTCATTGTACCACTAGTATAATTTGGCTGTGAATCTGTCTGGTCCTGGGCTTTTTTTGGTTTGTAGGCTATTAAATACTGCTTCAACTTCAGAACTTGTTATTGGTTTATTCAGGGATTCAACTTCTTCCTGGTTCAGTCTTGGGAGGGTGTATGCGTCCAGGAATTTATCCATTTCTTCTAGATTTTCTGGTTTATTTGCATAGAGGTGTTTAGAGTATGCTCTGATGCTAGTATGTATTTCTATGGGATCATTGGTGATATCCTCTTTACATTTTTTATTGTGTCTATTTGATTCCTCTCTCTTTTCTTTATTAGTCTGGCTAGTAGTCTATTTATTTTGTTAATCTTTAAAAAAAAAAAAAACAGCTCCTGGGTTCATTGATTTTTTTCTGAAGTATTTTTCCTGTCTGTGTCTCCTTCTGTCGTGCTCTGATTTTTGTTTTTTCTCATCTTCTGCTCCCTTTTAAATTTGTTTGCTCTTCCTTCTCTAGTTCTTTTAATTATAACATTAGGGTGTCGATTTTGGATCTTTTCCATTTTCTCATGTGGGTTTAGTGCTATAAATTTCCCTCTAAACATTGCTTTAGCTGTGTCCCAGAGATTCTGGTATGCTGTGTCTTTTTTTTCATTGTTTTCAAAGAACTTAGTTATTTTTGTTTTAATTTCATTATTTACTCAGTAGTAATTCAGGAGAAGATTGTTCAGTTTCCATGTAGTTGTGTGGTTTTGAGTGAGTTTCTTAATCCTGAATCTAATTTGATTGTACTGTGGTCTAATAGACTGTTATGATTTCCATTCTTTAACAATTGCTGAGGAGTGTTTTACTTCCAATTATGTGGTCAATTTTAGAATAAGGGCTATGTGGTGTTAAGAAGAATTTATATTCTGTTGATTTGGGTTAGGGGTTGGAGAGTTCTGTATATGTCTATTAGTTCCACTTGATCCAGAGCTGAGTTCAAGTTCTGAATATCGTTGTTAATTTTCTGTCTCATTGATCAGTCTATTTGTGATAGTGGGGTGTTAAAGTATTCCACTATTATTGTGTGAGAGTCTAAATCTCCCTGTAGATTTCCAAGAACTTGCTTTATATATCTGGGTGTTCCTGTATTGGGTGCATATATATTTAGGATAGTTCTTCTTGTTGCATTGATCCCTTTACTATTATGTAGCGCCCTTCTTTGTCTTTTCTGATATTTGTTGGTTTAAAGTCTGTTTTCTCAGAGATTAGGATTGCAACCCCTGCTTTTTTTTCTTTCCATTTGCTGGCAAATATTTCTCCATCCCTTTATTTTGAGTCTAAGCGTGTTCCTTATACAAAACATATAATTCAGTATTGCTTTTCTATAGAATCTGACAATTGCTATTTTTAAAAAATTGGGATGTTTAGACCATTTACATTTAATGTGATTGCCCTTATGTTTTATTTTAAATTTATCATCTTTCCATTCCTACTTGTATCATCTATCCTATTTTTCTACCTTCCTTTGAATTAGTTGAGTATATTTTATCATTTAATTCTATCTTCTTTGTTGGGTTATTACCTGAAATTTTTGGTTATATTATTGTATTCTATGCTATATACTTTTTAAATTTATTTATTTAGAGACAGAATCTCACTTTGTCACTTGCCTGGAATGCAGTGGCACAATCGCGGCTCACTGCAAACTTCATCTCCCAGGTCCAAGTGATTCTCTTGCCTCAGCCTTCTGAGTAGCTAGGACTGCAGATGCAGGCCACCACACCTGGCTAATTTTTGTATTTTTAATAGAGAGAGTGTTTTGCCATGTTGGCCAGGCTGGTCTCAAACTCCTGACCTCAGATGATGATCCTGCCTCAACCTCCCAAAGTGCTGGGATTACAGGCATGAGACATCTTGCCCAGCCTATGCTACATATTTTATTCTCTCATTGCCAACATTCAAGAAATATAGTTCTTCTTCATAAATAATGTAAGAATCATAGAGTTGTACTTTTCCATTTCTCCCCTCTTGGCCTTCTTCTATTGTGACTATACATTTTAGTTTTAATTATTTTATAAATTCCCAAATATATGATTTCTTACTTTTTTATTTTGCACTAAATCATCTTTTAAATTATGTAAGTTATTTGAATAGTATTTTGCATATACTTAGATAGTTACAATTTCTAGTGTCCTTCCTTCCTTCATGTTGATTTATGTTTTTTTTTTTTAATTTTTTTTTTTTATTGTGATCTTTTTAGCGTGCCTTATTTGCCAAAAATTTTCCCCGCTTTTTTTTTTTTTTTAAATGTCTGAAAACATGTTTATTTCCTCCTTATTTTTGAAAAATATTTTCATTGGGTTTAGAATTCTAGGTTGGTAGTTTATTTCAGTACTGTAGCTTATTTTTCTACCCTCTTCAAGCATGAATTTCTGATTTCAGATGAGAAATTTGCTTTATCTGAGATCCTGCGTATGTAATGTATCTTACTCCACTGGTTGCTTTAAAATGTTTCTCTCTTTATTGACTTACTCATGTTGGTTATTATATTCCATGAATTACTCTTTTCATGTTTTTGTTTTCAAGGCTTATTTAAATTCATATATTCTAGGTTAATAGATTTTACCAAATATAGAACATTTAACCAAATACTTTTTCAATTATTTTGTCCTTCTTTTCTCTCCCTCAGAGATTCCAATTAATCATATATTGCTCTCTTGAAGTCGTACCACAGTGAAAGTACATTATGTTCATTTTTTAAGTTTCTTTTCCTCTCTTTTTTTACTTTGGATAGTCTTCATTACAATTATAATTTATTAATCTTTTTTCTGCAATTTGTAATCTGCTGTTTATTTCATCCAATTATTCTCATCTCAAATACTTTAACTTTCACATGCAGAATATAAATATCACCCCTTTTTATACTAACTCCTTACTAAACTTTTTAGCTTCTGAATATGCGGAATAATAGTTTTAAAGTAACTGCTATTTCTACCATCTGTATAATCTTTTTCAGTGATTTTAACTGAGAATATTTTCCTGCTTCTTTAAATGTTTAGTAACTTTTTATCTAATGGCAGGGATTTTGAATTTTATCTTGTTAAGTGAGATATTTTTATTGTTCCATAAGTTTTACTTACAGAATAATAACGATTGTTCCATAACAGTAACTATAACAGCTTTTGTTCTGGTATTCAATCAGGTTATTATCAAACAGTATGAATCTTTTCGATTTTGTTTTTGAGGTACCAGAGCAGCATGTAGTTTGCACAAGTGTTGGCCAATTACCAAGGCCTAACCATTTTGGGAATTCTACTGGATGCACTGTGAATTATGAGGTCTTCTACTCCAGCTCGTGTCAACAGCAAATATTCAAACCCTGATGATTATTCTATGTAATTATTTCAATTGATTCCTTCTTGAGCATTATATATGAAATAATCAGTACTCAGCTAAAGTCTACAGAGGATCCTCTGTAGATCTCTGGGTCGTCTTTTACATTTCACCTCCCTGTTATTCTGCCTTGTAAACTCCAGATACTTTCATGTCTCAAAACACCCAACACAATCTTTTCAACTCAAGAGAGCTATAATCTCTGTATTGATTCCCTCTTCCTTAGCCACAGCCTCAAAACTCCTAACCATCAGTAAGCTGGAACAGTCATTGAACTAGCTTTGTTTGCTTCTCTTCTTTCAGGGATGACTATCTTTCATTCTGATATTTTGAAAACTGTTGTTTCATATATTTTGTCCAGTATCTTAGCTGTTTCATATGTGAGAATAAGTTTCTGTTAGAGAATAAATTAGTCTCTAACATATAATTTTAATTGAATAACATAATGATCAGTTCAAGATGAGTTCATTTCTCACAGACCTGTTTCCAGATACTTAATATTAAAAGGGTCTAATATCAAGTGTGAAACTGATTTTCAAATAAACAGACATTGTTGATAGAAAAGTGCAAATTGGTCTTACATGAAAACTATAAATTCTGCACAGTTATGCTTCTTTTTGGAAATTTCCAGAAGCTCCATATGCCTTCATAAGACCCAAGTGGTAGCACCTTTTTCACTGCAGTATAGAACTACTGCAGAGCTTGTTTTAATTCAGACTCCAATCTAAACTGGATGCCACGAATTAATCAGTTAATGAGTCATATCATCATGTCTAAATATAGAATATTTTGCTTCCATAATTTAAAAGGGTCCAACAAGTTTTGTGCCCCTTGAAATTAGAAGTGCAAGCTTCAGTCATTTATCTCTCACTTTAGATAAAATATTCTGTCCTGTTCCAGACCACTAAAACTTCATAAACCTATCAGTCTGGCAGGCTCAAGATATTGAACTTTCGAAGAATTTATCTCTCAACCCTTGATACCATTATGTTTTAATAAGGCATCTGGTGCTTGCTACCTCCTACTTATAGACTCAATTAACATAAGGTCATCAATGTCAAGATCAATGTGATGTTTTATGGGACACAAAGATGATTAAGTTCCTTCCAGTTTATATTAAGAAAGAGAGCATACAAGTTGACTAGACAGTGCAGATGAGCTTCTACCCTTGCCTTGTCAGAGTTTTTCCTGATTAGAAGTAGGAAAAGAAAGCATTAAGTGTTTCTTTAATAGAAAAGTGCAAAATATTCACACTGAGGGCTTGTCAAAACACAATTTCTGGGCTCCACCTCTAAAGTTTCTGATTTTTGTCTGTTTGGAGTAGGACCCAATAGTTTGCATTTCTAGTGAATTTGGGAGTGATGCTGATGTTGCTGGTCCTTTGAGAATGCAGTCAAGTGGCAGGAGTAGCACTGATTTTCTCCAGTAAAGATGCTACATCTGAAAACATAGATAATCTAGGCAATTTTGCTTGCAATAATCTACACTCATTGTCCCAGGTTTACTTGGATTTCCATCAGGCAGAAATGTGAGTTCGTTGAGCATGTGTTAAAAATGCCACGTAATCCTCACCATACATCTTTCTGGTGTTTGATGGTGACACTGTTCTCCATTTCCACCAGGGACAGAAGATTGCTTTTGCTTTAATATCTTGGCAGTGGGTGTCATTTTAGAAGCATCTGTTTGTTTTATCCTGCCATAACGCATATATAACCCGTACGATAAGTCTGTGGTCCCATTAGACACACCTGGAGGTGAATTCAAGTGAGGATTTCATCCTCATGTTATCTCCATAAATGTCCATCACTAGTGGGCCAGTCTGGCATTCAGCGTCTCTAGTGACTAGTAGCAGTTCAGATTCTGTAACTAATAACCCCTCAGAAGTTCTGGGTTATTTCTCTTTCACAAATACACAGCCTTCCCGCTAAACGGCTGTAGGTCACATAGAGAAGGTTTGGGGAACACATGTAGTATTTACTAATGGCTATCTTGTGGAGGCTTTCTCAAAAGGAACCAGCCTCTCCTTCAAAGGAGGGACTCTGGCTGCTGTATTGGCTTAGGTCTTGCAACTGGATAAGAGGCAATGGATTCCCACTATGATGACTTGAATTATATTTTTGGCACTAGACCTAGACATATTTTGCTTGTATATATTAAGTCACAGCTCAGTAGGCTGCTCATCTATTTCATTCTGAGGACCTAGGGATCAGTAAGCCACTGACATAGTTAATGCAGGTCAGAGCACTGATTACCAATTCAACACTTGCCTTATTAATGTGATTTTAAGCTCCTCACTTCTGATGGGTAAGCCCTTTGATCTGGCCTGTACTACACTGGCATGTCATTATTCTCAGTGAAATATAGAATGGATTACTAGTGCAGCATCTCCCACCATTAGTTATCTTTGGCCTATAGGAAATGCTTACCATGAAGACTTTTAATGATTCCTTCATAAGGAGGGTGCCCTCCAGGCTCTCTAGGAGTGACTGGTACTGGGTAGCTGAGCAGGTGGCTCAATCTATGTGAGTGAGTCGTAGATATACATGCATTTTAAAGCCTCCTATGTAATTCCAATATACCATTAATATTGAGAGTCATTGCACTATATCACATTAATTGTAGGCCACTGTTTAGTACAGACTTTAATTAACTGGCCTTTTGGATGTGAACACCACTCCAAAGGTACTTAAGTCCATTTATGACATTTCAAACCTGAGTTGAGTATGCCTAAAATTTGGAGATTTAAAATTTTTATCCTTTCATCCATATACCCAAATATTTTAGGGCCGTATTCTTTTCCCATGAGTGCCTTTACCTTACTTAGCATGAGATACCTGGCTGGTTTTTTTATTTAGCTGGCCTTAACAGCTGTGCCATTACATTTCATCCTTGGACTTGATTTTTCTCATTCATGTCTGCCCTGTGGTTACTGGAGATAAGGGGCTCCTTTAAAGTTTTCATAGAAGCTTTCTGATTTTTCATTCATGCTCAGAGGCAGACTTTCAATTTTTCTCTTCTCTCTTGCTACAGTCTTTGTAAAACCATTGTTGCCGTAGTCACTAAGTGCCACAACCACTTGGTCTCCCAAGGCCTTCATTGCATCTGCACTTCATCTTATGCCACCACCAGTGATTATTTGACTAATCATGATGTCATAGCATGCCAGAGATTATCAGTGTCCCTTTCTTAAAGCAAAAAAGCTATCTGTGAGCACCTCAAATATGGTAGCTACCCAACCCCAGGCACCTATTTTAAGGGCATTTCCTGGGACCACTTATTTTGTCAATTACTGAGTCACTTAAGATCCTGACAGGAAACAGATGGTACACGCCAATGGACTAATTAGGAAGAATTTAATAAAGGATTATTTATAGAGGTGTGAATAGGGATAAGAGAAACCTAAAAGAGACGCTGAAGCACTAATGCAGCTAGCAAAGGCTGGAAGCTTTTATCAGCCCTAAGTATGAACTCTAATTTCCTTCTTCCTCTGATCTGGTACCTCCCACAGGACAAACTCAGCCAGGACAACCCAACCCAGAGGTCAAGAGGTACAGCATAGGCATCCCATAAAAAGTAGAGTTTTTCTGACATGCAGAGAGTGAGAGGAGTATACAGAGTAGATCTAAGGGCACGAATAAGGAAAATTTGTCAAAATGTTCAAACCACATGTCTCTGCAAGCTTCTACATGTACATTATCTCTTATTTGACAACTTTAGTTGGAGGTCTTTAAGACATCTCAAATTCAATGTATTAAAAAACATATCTATTGTCATGCACCTAAATCCAGTCTACTTGCTGTTAAAAAACAAAGCGGGCCTGAAAGCAAGAAAGCTAAAAGTAACCTTTAATACCACTCAGTCTTGGGTCTCCCAATTTACCTCCTGTTTTGTTTCTTTACTTCTTTCTGTCTCCCTGTCATCACTCTAATACTTCCAAACTATTGTTACTTCTTTTTGTCATGGATAAAAACATTAATTATTATTTTTTAAAATTATACATTTTATTTTGAAGTATAACATCGAGACAGAAAAGTACATAAATCATAAATATACAGCTCAGTAAACCATAAGAAAGTGAATACTCATGTAAGACCACTTGGTCAACAAATAAAACAGTGTGGATACATTAACAGTCCTGCTTGGGCTCCTTTTGACCACTTCTTTATTCTTTCTCCCCTAAAGGAGACCTCCTGACAACTAAGACTAAATAATGGTTAAAGTTTGTCAGGAAAACTTCTTTTATAACACCTTTATTGAGATATAATTCATTTACTTTAGAATATTTTCATTACCCCTGAAAGAAACTCTAAATCCTTTAGCAGTCATTCCCTATTTTTCCCCAGATCCCACCTCTAAGCCCTAGACAACCAACAATCTACTTTATCTGTATATTTGTCCATGCTGGGTATTTCAGAAAAAAAGAATTACATAGCAGGTGTTTTGTGACTGGCTTATTTCACTTACCATAAACTTTCAAAGGTTTATTCACATTTTAATGTTATGAGAACTTCACTCCTTATTGCTTAATGATATGATATTGTATAGACATATCCCATTTTTATTTATTCACTTATCTGTTGATGAATATTTAATATTTAGCTTATTTCCACTTTGCTTTCATTGTGAATAATGCTACCATGAACATCTATGTACAGGTTTATTTTGTGTGTGTGTGTGTGTGTGTGTGTGTGTGTGTGTGTGTGTGTAGCACAGTTATTATTTAAATTGCATCCTATCAAAAGAATAATTTAACAGACAATCATTGCAATCACTTAACATGCAATCATTTTGTGGGTAAAATGATGGCCCCACAAAAATGCCAATGCCTGTGAATACGTTACCATACATGGCAAAAGGGACTTTGCAAATATGACTAAAGTTACAGACTTTGAAGTGGGAAGATTATTCTAGATTATCAGCATGGGACTAATGTAACCTAATTTAATTTCTCGATTTTCTTAATTTGTTTCTCTAGATCTACCCTGTACTGACTTCTCAAACTGTATATCTGAAGAAGACAACTCTTCATGAGATGCATCAACTGTGTTCCTCGAACTTGGACAGGTTGTTGAGGGATCATAAGGTACCAGTGATATAAAAGGATCGGAGGAGAGTAAAGTTAGGTGATTTATTCCTCTGGCTTCTTTCCTTTCTGGCTATGGATTTGCAGTGGTTTTGCTTTTCTCTGGCCTTCATGTACTGCACCATGTGTTGAAAAGACTGCTCTTTCTCCCATTAAACTATTATATTCAAAATATTTAAATAAAATTGTAACTCTTTGTGGAAAATCAACTGTCTATAAATTGAAGAGCTTATTTCTGGACTTTCAATTCATTTCCATGTATTCATATATCTATCTAGCACCACACTTTCTTGATTATGGGAGCCTTGACATCAAGAAGTATGCGTCCTTCAAGAAGTATGCATCCTTCAAGTTTGTTCTTCTTCAAGATTGTGTTGGCTACTGAGTCCCTTGCCTTTCCATATGAATTTTACAATCAGCTTGCATTTTCTGCAAGGACATTCGATGGAATGCACTGAATCTGTAGATCAATTTTGTGAGTATTGTCATTTTAAGAATATTTAGTCTTCTGGGACTGTCTTTTCGTTTATTTAGGCCTTCTTTAATTTCTCACACTGATGTTTTCTAGTACTCAAGGTACAAGTCTTAAACTTCTTCTGTTAAATGTATTTCTAAGTATTTTATTATTACTGGCTTGATTGCAAATCAGCTTTTAAGAAATTTACTGTTTATTACTAAGGTATAAAATCACAATTGATTTATATGTATTAATCTTGTATTCTGCAAACTTGATGTGCCATTTTTTTTTTTTTATTCTAGTAGCATCTTTGTGGATTTCTTGGGATTTTCTCTATAAAAGCAGTTGCCATCTACAAGGAGAGATATACTTCTTCCTTTCTTTCTAACATTGGTGCTTTTCTTTCCCTCCTTCCCTCCCTCCTCCTCTCTTCTTCCTCTTCTTCTTCCTCCTATCCTCCTCCTCCTCCTACTCCTTCTTATTCTCCTTCTTCTTCTTTCTGCTTTCTTCTTCCGCCTTTCTTTTTATTTTTCTACCTTTTCCTTCTCCCCTCCAGCTCTATCCCTCTTCTTATTCGTCCTGGATAGAATCATCAGTATAATGTTAAATAGAAGTGTTGAAAGTGGTGGAAATCCCTTTCTTATTCCTGAT